CTGCAAGTAATTAGTGAGGTTGTTGCTTATGGTGAAATACTTTGATCAGAATTCGAGTTCACAGCGGGCACTTCTGAAGATATAATTGAGTACAGCAGAGCATTCAATCGGCTTCCATTTGAAATGTCTTAAGATCCAGCTTTTTGCAGATGGAAATGATGGTTTTGAAAGAATCAGAGGCAAAGCAATAAGAGGAATAATTCTGGAATATTAAATGGATTAATATGTTTGATCAACATTAGATCGAGTCTAGACGTGCCTATTAAACTTTATGACACTACAGTAATAGTAACTTTGCCTTGACAACACACTGCTTTTGGAGTAACAATCCAATTAGTAAAACTGAAAGTTTCTACCATATAATTTTTCTTAATATAAATAAATACACATTTATTTTAAATAACCGTATGCCTGATTAAGTTTCATATGTGAATGTTAGTGTTTTAGAGCAATAAATGCAAATTTGTGTTTTACAACATACAGTATATAGCCTACATATATTTAGTGCTGTCAAACGATTAATCGCATCCAAAATAAAAGTTTTTGTTTACATACTATATGTATGTGTACTGTGTATATTTATTATGTACAGTGGGTACGGAAAGTATTCAGACCCCCTACAGTATATATTTTGAAAGTATTTACATGTATATACATTTATATTCTTATATTTAATATTATATATAACTATATTTAATATTTAACACTCATTTTAATTATTTTATATCACACATTTTTCTTAAATGTATAAATGCTTGATTGTGTTTGTATTTATACATGATAAATATACACAGTATACACACATTATGTAAACAAAAACTTTTATTTTGGATGTGATTAATCGTTTGACAGCACTAATATATATATATATATATATGTATGTATATAAGATGCAGTCGGGAGATGGGAGAAAGTTGTAGAAAGTCAACCATCACTGCAGCCCTCCACCAGTCGGGGCTTTATGGCAGAGTGGCCCGACGGAAGCCTCTCCTCCGTGCAAGACACATGAAAGCCCGCATGGAGTTGTGAGATGGTGAGAAATAAGATTCTCTGGTCGGATGAGGCCAAGATAGAACTTTTTGGCCTTAATTCTAAGCGGTATGTGTGGAGAAAACCAGGCACTGCTCATCACCTGTCCAATACAGTCCCAACAGTGAAGCATGGTGGTGGCGGCATCATGCTGTGGGGGTGTTTTTCAGCTGCAGGGACAGGACGACTGGTTGCAATCGAGGGAAAGATGAATGTGGCCAAGTACAGGGATATCCTGGACGAAAACCTTCTCGAGTGCTCAGGACCTCAGACTGGGCCGAAGGTTTATCTTCCAACAAGACAATGACCCTAAGCACACAGCTAAAATAATGAAGGAGTGGCTTCACAACAACTCTGTGACTGTTCTTGAATGGCCCAGCCAGAGCCCTGACTTAAACCCAATTGAGCATCTCTGGAGAGACCTAAAAATGGCTGTCCACCAACGTTTACTATCCAACCTGACAGAACTGGAGAGGCTCTGCAAGGAGGAATGGCAGAGGATCCCTAAATCCAGGTGTGAAAAACTTGTTGCCTCTTTCCCAAAAAGACTCATGGCTGTATTCGATCAAAAGGGTGCTTCTACTAAATACTGAGCAAAGGGTCTGAATACTTAGGACCATGTGATATTTCAGTTTTTCTTTTTTAATAAATCTGCAAAAATGTCAACAATTCTGTGTTTTTCTGTCAATATGGGGTGCTGTGTGTACATTAATGAGGAAAAAAAATTAACTTAAATGATTTTAGCAAATGGCTGCAATATAACAAAGAGTGAAAAATTTAAGGGGGTCTGAATACTTTCCGTACCCACTGTATATATAAATACACATACAGTATATATTTTGAAAGTATTTACATGTATATACATTTATATTCTTATATTTAATATTATATATAACTATATTTAATATTTAACACTCATTTTAATTATTTTATATCACACATTTTTCTTAAATGTATAAATGCTTGATTGTGTTTGTATTTATACATGATAAATATACACAGTATACACACATTATGTAAACAAAAACTTTTATTTTGGATGTGATTAATCGTTTGACAGCACTAATATATATATATATATATATGTATGTATATAAATAAATATACAGTGCCCCCATAAGTATTGGAACAGTAAAGACAAAATTGCTCTGTTTGCTTTGCAAGACATTTGCAAATATGATTAAAAGATGAATATGAGACAAAACTACAGAATGTCACATTTTATTATTAGCTGTTTCAACACATACATGTTTTACCAAATAAAAAGGATGGCACTTTTAGAGTTCATCCCACTATCTGATGTGAGCATAAGTATTGGGACAGTTGAACTTAAGGCAGATGAAAAAGATTAAAAGCTAATATTTAGTTGCAGATCCCTTGCATGAAATCAGAGCAGTGAGTCTGCGACCCATAGACATCACCAAACTCTTGGTCTCATCCTTTGAAATGCTTTTCCCAGCCTTTAATGCAGCCAATTCCAACTGTTGCTTGGTTTGGGGAGTTTCTGCCTTTAGTCTCCTCTTCAGCTGGTGAAATTCATGTTCAATCGGATTTAAATCTGAAGATTGACTTGGGCAGTCTTAGACCTTCTATTTCTTTGCCCTGATAAACTCCTTGACTGAACTGGCAGGGTGTTTTGGGTCATTGTCCTGATCCAATATGAAGCGCTTGAATATTGGTAACCTAGCCAAGATGATTCTGTACACTTCTGCATTTATTCTGCTGCTGCCATAATGCTGTAAGTCGTCAGTAAAGTTGAGGGCCTGTTCCAGAGACAGCCATGCATGCACACACCATGACACCAACTCCACCATGCTTTACAGATGAGAATATTTTTGTGTGTACACGAGAAGCTTTGTTAACGCGAGCAGACAAACTTTTCCAATGGTCTCAGGTAATTTTTTTTGCTAGTTTGCGCAAAATTTATGTGAGTACATGAGCGGCCTTCTCTTGGATTAGGCACTATAGTGGTTTTCCAATCTCGATTTAGCAGATGTGAAATACACAATCTATTTATATATTTACCAGCTAAATGCAATCCAAATCTTTGATCATGCTGATTAAAAGCAGAAGAAGTGGGCATTTTAAGAGCAGGCATGAATGCTTGTTTGTTTCTCTCTATGCATACGGGCATATAATAAATACCATATGTGCCCAGATGGCAGTCTCCATTGAAATCAAATTGCTTTTAGCAGAAAAGGTAAGTGCGCTGAATGAAAGTGGCTATTTAAAGTGGTCCATGGTACAAACTCCCTCAGACCTATTCATACCACACCCTATCAACAACTTCCACAGAAACAAACCGTAAGATGAAGTGGTGAGTTTGGTTCAGCATTGTTCACAGTTGAGAAATGGCCCTGCCTAATTAACTAGATTGAGCTTAAAGGGATAGTTCACCCAAAAATGATTATCCTCATGTTGTTCCAAAACTATATGAAGATGTTTAGCAGCATTTTCATGCTGTTCTTTTCCATACAGTACAAAGGAATGGCCTGTCAAGCTTGAAATATGAACCAATAAAAGCATCATAAAATTGGTCCATATACATGAGAGCAAATTAGATCTGAGTGTTACTGCAGGTTTCCATCCTCATTCCATCAGGATTCCAGTACGTAGGGATTTGTAAAAGATTTAGTGTTTGGGTGAACAATTCCTTTGAGAGGGAACCCACTTTTACACTTAATGGGTGTCTTCTTGGAAAAGAGATTCTCCAGAGAGGATAGACTGTTTTTAGTGGAGGAACCTTTGTGAAAAAGTCATCTTATGCCTGGAATAGTGTTTCACATGCTGTCTGTGTGTGTGTGTGTGTGTGTGTGTGTGTTATGGAGAATGGCTGGGGTTGCTACTGTTTCCTGGGGTGTCTGCCTTATGGAGACTTGGAACCGAAGAAAATACCTGGATGGCATCCAAACATCCAGGAATCCATTTACACAGCATGGAAAAACGGCTCATAAATGCACATGCACACCCTATAGTCAAACCAACCCAGAAAGGGCAAATCATATGCAGGTTTTTCTCATAGACATTGATATACTTTGATAAGCATTGAGAAACAGAGACAGGAGCCAATCTAAGACATATAGCTTTTAACTCACTCTCAGCATGTCTGTTTCTGATTTCCTGACATTCTGACTGCTAGTTGTTACTCTAATTCTCTTTCTTGCTGTCCGTTTCACGGTAGATACAGACTAGCTGGAGACTAACTGATCATTCTTGTGTAGTATAATATAAATATCCAAGCCTGGCTCCAGGTGGGCCTCTCAGTTGTTGTTAAAGTATGTTGTTAAGGTATGCAGATGTGTAGTATAAATACTATATCCAACATATGACAGTTACCTTTGGCCCTGATGTTTTTTGATCAATAAAAAGTGAAAAAAAGTTCACTTTGGCACTAAATTCAATTTTACAAAAAGGAGCAACTTTTCTTTAAATCTGATGGCCCCTCTGCACCATCAGCCTCATGGGATAGCAAAGTGTCCACTGATTCCACAGACAGACAGATATATATCTAGCTGTCTGTCTGTCTGTCTGTCTAATAATCTGCAAATATCATCTCTGTTCAACAATGCTATATCTATAAACTGACAATTTTTCTGTCTGTCTGTCAAGATAGATAGAATGCACAGAGTATTATTTTGCTGACAGGTGAAAGTGCTGCTATTTAATTAATCCTGATGAGTAGCTGCTTGAGAAATCCATCACACACTTGATCTGCTGTTCATTTGTTTCATTGGAATGGAAACCTGATGCTAATCTGTAAACCTGCCAGATCGAAAAGTTTGAACAGTAACATGGAGTGATGATAGAGGCTGTTGTGCACAGACAGATGGTCTGATCAGTGGGTGTGTGCTGGGGTCCGTGTCTCCCTCTCTCGCCCCTCCTGCATTCCCCTGGGCCAGTGAAATTCCAGCTCCCCCTCCTTTCCTTTGCCTTCCCTCTCTCTCGCTCTCTCTCTCTCTCTCTCTCTCACACACACACACCATCTCTCAGGTCTCAGGACTTTCTGCTGTGGTTCTGGTACCCGCATAAGACACACTCATCTTCTGAAGGATGGCTGGGACTCATACTGTCCTGCTCACACTGCTGCCCACTGTCCTCGTTCTAATTGGTGAGTACCTATTACCAATCAATACATTTTTCCCCATTAAATTAATATTTTAAAAATGACCATGACAACTCATTTAGATGTTTTTGTTAATGAATTTTATGCTGTAAATATTAATTAAAAAAGAAAGCCTGCTTCAAAAAGTTTCAGCACAATCCTTCATACCATAATAAAAGAGTATTGTGTGATTTAAGATACCAGGGTACTAAATTCTTACCACACTCATATATGAGGGTATTTTAGGACACATGTCCAAAATTTACTATACAGTATGTAGGTACAACTATGGTACCATGTCTAAAAACTGTAGTAATACCATGGTATCTTTTTGTATTCGAAGCTAACTTTCATTTCATGTGCTTTATACAAAGAATAACTATGAACCACATTACACACACACACACACACACACAATTCTTAAAGACCTGACAGAAAAACAGTGAAAAGAAAACTCTCTTTCTCTTTAGTGTTGGCTGGTGTGGAAAGTGCAGCTGTTAAAGATGTAAAAGACAGTAAAGCTCAAGGTGAGTTCAACACACACACACACACACTACAAATCGAACTCCCACACACTCATATCTCTTACTCCATTGCTTTAGCAGGAGCATCTAAACGAGTTTTCATGCCAGCATCTGATGCCTCAAACTTCTTCAAACGCCGCGGTCGCAGATCCCCAAGAACTTATGAAGAGTACTATGGTGAGTGCAGTAAAACTGTCCTTTTTTCCATCTCAGCTCTGCTTTTCTCATCATCTTTGTAGGTTTAATCAAAACAAAGAAACTATTACATTCCTAATATGTAGTTTAACAATTAAAGAGCTTAAAGTCAACTTTAAGTAATCTCCCATTAAATTGTATTCACATTTATGCTAATGCACGCATAGGACACAGATGTGAAGAAATGCCTTCTTAAACGTCATTCTCTCAGATATTAGAAGAGCGTTCACAAATTAATTAGAAGGAACACTAGATTTTGTGAAGTTATGAATAAAACAAAGATTTGAGTACATTTTACAAAAAATACCATTTCAGTCTTTCTACTTCAATACTTGAAGCTTAATTTAATGTGTTACTAGGCTTTTCTATGTGAAATTTTATTTGCAATTTCTGAGTGAAAATTGTTTCTACACTATTTTTTCCAGTGTATGATGGTGATTAAAAACTGTAAAACTGTAAAAGCAATATTTATTACCAAAATCAACAATTTACAGTCTTTATAGCCCCCAACTCCTTACCCAGGGCTACTTACTGTAATTAAATATGCAAATTTGACCAGACCTCAACTGAAAAAAAAAACCTATTTAATTAAAAAAACAAAAAAAAAACCTTGATGTACATCATGTAAACCTACATTATATTTCTTAAGCCCACTTAACATTTTTTTTATATATATATATTGAAGAATATACAGTTCTTTATGGAAGCTTATTTCTGCCATGGGCCAAAAACATAAAAAAAAGGTAATTGTGAGTTTTCATCTATTACTTTTTTCTCTCAAAGGAGAAAAAGGTCAAAATTAATAAATAAGAAAATTCAGAATTCTGATTCTTTTCTGACAATACCTCAAGAGTTTGGACTTGTCTTCTTAACTCAGAGTTTACATCCCACAATTTTTTTTCTGCAATGGAATAAATCTTTTAAAAGGTTATGACCTTTTCTCACAATTCTAACATCTCACAATAGTGAGCTTATCTCACAATTTTGACATTTTTTCTCAGAATTTACATCTCTTTTTCCCTCAGAATTAAGAAAAAACATTTACATCTCGCAGTTCTGAGTTTATATCCCAATTCTGTGATCTTTTCCTCAGAATTGATATAAAATTTGTGACAAAAAACGTCAGAATTGTGAAATAAAGAGTCACAACCTTGTCACCTTTTAAATTTTTTTCACAAAATTACAAAAAAAAAACGATTTGAATTTATTCACCAAGAAAATTTTTTGAATATTATCTTGGATAGTGGGAGGCTCGGAGTCAAAAACACTGGGCTAGAAGGTCCAACAGGACAAGATGGAGCAGTGTTCTCTCTCCAACAGACACACACACACTTATGGACACTGCATCAGGCCGTCCTTTACCCTGCCAGCCTACGATTGCAGCAATGAAGGCATGGAAATGTTTTACTGAAGTGTATATTAAATTGTCAGCAGTGTGTGTGTGATGGTGCAGGAGCAGACACTGCAGGTTGGAGTTAAAGCATTTGGGGCTCGAGACTGGAATGTGCTTACGTGAGCTAAACTAACCTCCCTCACGATGGAGAAAGAAAGAGAGCGAGCAAAATCTAGATTATTTTTGGCACCCAATTTGCTCAAATCTGTAAACTGCTGTCAGCTGGTTTATAGGAGTGTGTGTCACCCTTAAACCTGTTTATGTTGTACAGTCTGGAGCTTTTGAGGACGTCTCCAGAGACGAGAGCAACCGGAAAAGTGCAGGATTGCAAGGATAGTAGATGCTTAACTGCTCATGTATATTTGTAAGCAATTGCACCCGATATTTGTTCATTTTGAGATCAGCTTGTCATTTCTTGAAATCAGGATTTCAAGAATCCTGAAAAAAAAAATGGTTTCACGGTTTGCGCAAAAATATTAAGCAGCACAACTGTTTTCAACACGGATAATAATAAGAAATTTCTCTTAAGTAGCAAATTATCATTTCAGAATGATTTCTGAAGGATCTGAAGACTGGAGTAATGATGCTGAAAATTCAGCTGGGACATCACAGGAATAAATTACATTTTAGAATATAATAAAATCGAATACACTTATTTTAAATTGTAATAATATTTCAGAAATTTTGATCAAATAAATGCAGCATTGGTGAGGATAAGAAAAAACATTATATCTCATTTACATGTCATCACTGTATGCTAAAATCTACATATCTTTTAGCGGAGCAGAGGGTGAAGATGGCTGCAAACGAGCGAAGGAGAGAGCACTTAGAGGAACAAAACAACGAATACGAGAACTATTTAGAGGAGGAGCGCGATGGTGAGACTGATCTCCCTGTTTGATTATCTTGGCTTCCAGAAAAGAGAAACGTGCTGATCAAACCCTCTACAGGATAGAGTTCCCAGACAGGACTGCTGGACTAATCAGAGGCTGATGACAGCAGTGCCTCTGAGCCTCTTATGATCCAGTACACTAGACTGGTGACATTAAATTGCTTAACTGATTTGGAGGTAAACAGAACATTTGGTGCAGTCTTTTAAATTTAAATGTGAAAATCTGAATTCTGAGCACAGAATTCCTTTTTGATGATTATAACTGGAAGCACAAAGACTACATTTTTTTTAGACTTAAAAGGAATAGTTCACCCAAAAAGGAAAATTTGCTCTCCCTCAGGCCATCCAAGATGTATACGAGTTTGTTTCTTCACCATTAATTGCACACATATGGATCCTCTGCAGTGAATGCGTGCCGTCAGAATGAGCGTCCAAACAGCTGATAAAAACATCACAATACAAATCCACATGACTTACAGTCCATCAGTTAATGTCTTGTGAAACGAAAAGCTGCCAGTTTGCAAGAAACAATCCATTTCTAACAGGCTTTTTAACAGTTTAACTGGTTTTAATAATGCGTTCTTTAGTGAAAGTGTCCATTCCTTGTTGTCCTCTCACATCAAAATCCATCAATATATTTGTTTAGAAAGGTTTTGGACTGCTTTAGCTGTGCATATTTATCTCCTGATCCAGACAAGATGGCTTTTTCATTGGACAAAGTAATATTATGCACTCATATTTCAGCCAGAAGCCAACAGTTTGAAGACAAAATCTTCATTCTTAATGAAGGATTTGTTTCTTACAAACATGCAGCTTTGGGGGAAGTCGTGGCCTAATGGTTAGAGTCGGACTCATAACCCAAAGGAAAACGTACCCACCAGAATCATAAAAAAAGGAAAGCCAATAAAAGAAAAAATGCAAAAGACCCGACTTTTGCCTATATTGCAACATCTTGTAAACTCATAAATACGGTGTGTGTGTATATATATATATATATATATATATATATATATATGTGTGTGTGTGTGTGTGTGTATGTATATATGTAATTTTATATATTTTATTTTTATTTTTTAGCTTGTCATTTTAAAC